TCTCCCGATCCGTTGACTAGGACCTCATCCCATGAGGGGGCGAGGAGGAGATGGCTGCCCACTTGGCTCTCTGTTGGTCCCAGGAGGAGTGCGCCCGACCGGGGTCGGACTCTCCCCGTGGGAATCCTTCGTGTCCGCGCAAATTACGCTTGGATCTGGCGCCAGGGCATGCCCCAACCCCTTGGGGTGGCACGCTTGTCCCTACGGTGTCGGGCTATGAGTCATAGTTAAACGCCCGCATGGTTTACGGCCAATACGATGCGGATGCGAGGCGTCCCCGCCGTGCAAGGCACGTGGCGTGGAAGGCTACAACAGCCCCGCAGCCGATGCCGTGGAGGCGGAGTCGCACGTCACTGTGGAGCCGCAACAGGTGACCGGCACCCCTTGTCGTCGCAACCACGAGGACGGCCCGTGCACATCCATCGTCGACCGGCGATGTCCAGACGACGCCTCGTGTACCATGTGGGCCAGTCTGTGCCCCCATGTCGTGCTCTACCTCACCTTCGACCGGACCTGAGACACGGATGGAACAACATCGACGATCGCCGATGAAGTAGACTAGTTTTACGTTGCATGTAATTGTGTGGATTTGCTGATTTGAAATGAGCTACTCCATGTGCAATCGAATATTTGAGTCTTGACCGATCCCTGTCCGCGGACACGCGGACGTTTTGAGGCAATTTTGCTAGGTCCAGTTGTAGATGCTCTTACTGCAGCAGCCTGCGCAGGCGCAGAATATTTCATACTTTGAGTGGGGAGCGGCCGCTTGAAGCCCAAATGGCATACTCGCCGAGCAGATGTATCCTGTGCCGGCCGCCTTGGTTTTCTTTTCGCATGTTTTTTTTATGCTTCTTCTTTATTTTTATTCCACCACGCCTCCTCGAGTTGCCGTCTAGTTCCCCTCGGGTCTCCTCCGCTCCCGGGGATCCTCGCCGTCTCCCACCAAATCGCCTCGCCTCTCCTCTCCTCCAGATCTCCGCCCGGCGACGCGGAGGCCCCAGTCCGGCGCCATTCGGCCGGAACCGCCCCGCCCCGCCCCAGGCTCACTCGGTCGGCGGTGATGCGGCGGACAGCGGCGCTCCTCCTCCTGCTCGCCTTCTCGGCCGCCGCCGTCGCAGCAGCAGCAGCCGAGGTGAAGGTCCCCTCCCTCCCTGCCCCCCTCCCTCGCCGAACCTCCAGAGAGTCGTCTGCCCGGTTGCCCCCCGTCGCACCCTGCGCTAGAGTTGGTGCGATCTGGGGAGCTCTGCTTCCGCCATTAGATGAGACGACGCAGAGAGCTTGATTTAAATTTCGCACTACATACCACTATTCACTCCTCTGTATTTAGGGTGTTGCGTTGCCTCCGATGATATGAATTCCGCATCAGTAGCGCTGGATCAGATTGGGGGACTGGTGAACTAAAATTTGTTGCCAAGCACTCCCATGCAAGCTTAATTTCAGACAGTTTAAAGCACTGCAGCAGTGATCTAGTAGTGAGGCACCTGCCATGCAAACTTAATTTCAGACAGCTACATCAATACATCAGCAATCAGATGACTAACATAGAAGGTGATGTTTTTCCTTTTTGTCTTTGATTGACACGTTTCCTTTTGAATTCAGGATAGTACCACTGGTATCCTACCAGCAGGAGGAAACAATGGTACCGGTATAGCGGATCCAGGTGTTGGGAGGACAGGGCAGAATGGCGAGGCAGATCCTAACACGCAACAGAAAGTACACGGGGAGGGGGAGCTCAAGAACGTCATTACTGAGAACACTAACACGGATAATTCCGTCGAAGGAACTAGCACCGGGAAAGATGAGCCAGTACAGAAACCAAATGACAAAGATGGCAACACAACAACATCCTCGACGGACTTCTTGCAGGATCCACTGATTGGCGAATGTGATCCATCCCATAGATGTCTCATTGAAAAACAGAAGTTCATCGCCTGCTTGAAAGTTTCTGGAGGTGATTTTCTACTCTCTGGTTGTGTGTAGTTGCTTACGGTATTATATGCTTTCCTTCTATCATGCATGTAAACCTTCTGGATCAAACATTATTTCATTCCTTTTGAATGCTTGCCATGGTCTTATGGCAGCTAAACTGATGTCTTTTTCATCAAGTATCAATGTAGTATTCAAAAGTTGGAAGATCAAACTGACGGGCTCATCCATGTTCGGAATCTGAAAGTTGGTCAACCATGCCACTTAGATGTTTCCCACATCTCTTTTGTTGTCTGTCAACTAACGGTTGGATGTAATTGGCGCCATCAAGCAAAAAAATTGATATACCAAAGCACATGGTGCAATTTATGGTTTGGCCTTGTGGCATTAATAAGTTGCCAATCATAGTTTAGTTCTCTGTCAACGTGTAGCCAAAACTAGTGCTATCAATTGATTATGGCAATGATGGAATTGGACGGTTGGCTCAACTGACATGACATTAATAAGTTGCCAATCATAGTTAGTTTCTCTATCAGTGTCGCCAAAACTAGTGCTATCAGTTGTTGACCTTGGTTTTGGTCACTATATACCCTGGCTACAGTTTTGGTCTAGGTGGGGCCACAAACAAAGACTAGCATACTTACAACTAGTGCTATATCAGATATAATTTATTTTTGCTGGAGTGCAAATGGAGTCCCTGTAGAACTTTGTGAGTGTTGCCTCAAGAACACCTACTATCCATTATTTCTTCTCGAATGGAATATTTGCCAAGATATTTGTTCCTGTGATCTCTCTGAAGTTTTTTTCATGTACTTAGTTCTTTCCAGCCCTTTCCACATTTTTGCACATAAGTGACCTGTTATAGTTGAAACCAGATTCGTCAGCTCTATCCCTTTTGATGGACAACAAAGGTGCAAACCCACTTGATGTTAGCATCACGGCTCCAGATTATGTCATCTTAGCAGAAGATACAGTTCATGTTGAAGCAAACGGTCACAATGAGGTATGCTACAATAATTAATCTTTGAAGATAATTATATTGTTGGTTTTTATGGCTTAATTGTTTCATATAAAATGTCTCAGTATCTTGCATTTTCACGCAGTGATTCTGAAGAAAATGCCGTTTATTTTCCCTTTTCCTGTGGAAGTTTGTTCAACAAGCATATGAGTGTCCTGTTGCACTTTCCCATGCCCATGAAATGCAAAATTCATCTTCTTTGTCTGTTGTTACATGATTGATTACGGGTGTTACTGTGATATATCATGTTTGCCTAATGTTTAGTACACTATCTTTGCTCTTATCAACTTCAATATGGAAACTGGGCCCTTGGCATTCTGATTTTAGTGCTATCTGAAGGTTATACTGATCTTCTCTTCTTCTGCTGTCATTATTAATTCAGACGCAGGTGAGTGTTTCTGTCAGCGATACCGTGAATGACATGGCGATAGTTCTCAAAGTCGCAGAAGAAACCTGTAAAATCAATCTTGAGACCGCAGTCACAAGGAACACAGGCCGAGTGATACCAATGCGGCTTACTCCAACCTACATGCTGGTGCCCGTATTTGTTCTCCTTGGGCTGGCGGGACTCTGTGTCAAACTCCGGAGGGCGCGTAAGCAAGATGGTGGGCCAGCATACCAGAAGCTCGACGCACCAGAGCTACCGGTCTCCGTTGGAGGGAAGAAAGAAGCTGATCAGCCTGACCAGTGGGATGACAACTGGGGAGATGACTGGGACGACGAGGAGGCGCCGTCAACACCATCGAGCTCCATGCCCAACCTGTCGTCGAAAGGTCTTGCTTCGAGGAGGTCAACCAAGGATGGCTGGAAAGATTAGCCGCCGGTTGGATGTCTATATCACCGCCTATATTTCCTCTCGTGTCTTTCTTGAAGAGTTTTTTTTTTCGCTTAGCTTTTCGGATAGATTTCGCTGAGGAGACCACTAGAGAATGTAATACGCTGGTAACACTAGAAGAAATATGAATGCTATTTTTTGCTAGTTTTATGTTACTAGTGAATGAATGCAGTATTTTAGTGGCACGGTTCTGTACTTGTTTATGCTCCCTCCGTAGTCAGAAACGTTCTTGTATTATGGGACGGAGGGAGTAATATTACATTTTTTTAGTTCATTTCTTTTTCCCAACAAAAAAATAATTGTCCAATTAATATTGGATATGGATTATTTTCAAGAAAACATATTTTTTACTTACCTTTAACTATTTTATTACATAAAAAATCAACCTTAAGGTACTTATTAACTTTTTCACTTTTTTACATTGAACGTTAGTGCATAAATAAAATTAGATGGTTAATAGACTATATGCCTCTTAACCTAGGCATCATGCATGTTTGTATTCTTGGGGGAATTTCTAAAGATAGTTACAGATAAATAAACATGATTATTTTTTAAAACTCCATTCTACAATTATTTGGATAAATTATTCTTTTTTGCTAAAGACAAAACAAAAAATAATACTTATGTGGACACCCAGACTGCATCAATACTTTACTCTGATGCACCGGAGAATTTTTTTTTTTGAGGGGTGAGTGTGGACCCTATGCTACTGCCATCAATATGGGCTACCGAGGATCAGATTGTGCAAAACTTTCAAATAGGGATCCAATCGTGCCAAACTTCGTTCAAAAGGTTAAAACATTTTCTTGTTTTTGAGACAAAAAAGGTTAAAACAGTTATTTTTAGAAAAAGGTTAAAACAGTTATTTCGGCCTCTTTGGAGGTACGGGCTGCACCTGCCGTCTCATGGGCTGAAGTGGGCCCCCAAATGGTCCATCGAGTGAAATAAAAAACTGGGCATTAGGTCGACCGTCCCTTTTGACCCGAGCTGTCCAAAACTGGTAGTATTCCCATGGCTGGTCTCGGCGGCGCCGCTCTCCAGCTGCACGCGGCCGTGGCCGTGCTTCGCACAGCGGCGGCCGCCGGCAAGCTGTCCGCGGGCAAGGCAGTCCACGCGCATATGCTGAGAGCGTCCCATTTCCACGTCGTCCTGCACAACCACCTCATCGCCTTCTACGCCAAGTGCGGCTGCCTCGGCCTCGCCCGCCGGGTGTTCGACGCAATGCCCTCCCGCAACCCGGTCTCCCGGAGCCTCCTCATGTCCGGCTACGCCTCCTCCGGGCGCCACGGGGACGCGCTCGCGCTGCTCAGGGCGGCCGACTTCGACCTCAACGAGTACGTTCTGTCGACCGCCCTGTCGGCCACGGCCCAGGTCCGGAGCTACGACATGGGGAGGCAGTGCCATGGGCATGCCGTCAAGTCTGGGCTGGCGGAGCACCACTATGTCTGCAACGCGTTGCTGCACATGTACTGCCAGTGCGCTCACGTGGAGGATGCGGTCAAGGTGTTTGAGAGTGTGTCTGGGTTCGACGCGTTCGCGTTCAACTCGATGATCAATGGGTTTCTTGACAAGGGCAAGTTTGATGGTTCGGTCAGGGTTGTGAGAAGCATGGTCGGAGAAGTTGAGCAATGGGACCATGTGTCGTATGTCGCAGTTCTTGGGCATTGTGCTAGCACCAAAGAGTTGCTGCTTGGTCGTCAAGTGCATGCCCAGGCGTTGAAGAAGAGGCTCGAGCTGAATGTGTATGTGGGCAGTGCGCTGGTTGATATGTACGGGAAGTGTGAGTGTGCCTCTGATGCTCATTCCGCGTTTGAGGTTTTGCCAGAGAAGAATGTTGTTTCTTGGACAGCTGTTATGACTGCTTATACCCAGAATGAGCTGTTTGAAGAGGCATTGCAGTTGTTCTTAGATTTGGAAATGGAAGGAATTCGGCCAAATCAGTTCACTTATGCCGTGGCTCTCAACAGTTGTGCTGGTCTTGCAGCCTTGAAAAATGGCAATGCGCTTGGTGCCTCTGCTGTGAAAACTGGGCATTGGGGTGCTCTGTCTGTCGGTAATGCCCTCATTAATATGTATGCAAAAAGTGGCAGCATTAGTGATGCATGCAGAGTCTTCCTTTCTATGCCATGTCGCGACGTGGTCTCGTGGAATTCGATCATAATAGGCTATGCTCATCATGGCCTTGCAAGAGAAGCCATGCGTGTGTTTCATGATATGTTGTCTGCTGAAGAATCCCCATCCTATGTGACCTTTGTTGGGGTGCTGTCAGCTTGTGCACAGTTGGGTCTTGTCGATGAAGGATTGTACTACTTGAACATTATGATGAAGGAAATGGGCATAAAACCTGGAAGAGAACATTACACTTGCATGGTTGGTTTGCTCTGCAGAGCTGGACGGCTAGATGAGGCGGAACAGTTCATATTGAGCAACTGTATTGGCACTGACGTTGTTGCGTGGAAATCGCTTTTAGGTTCTTGCCAGGTATATAAAAACTATGGTCTGGGTCATCGAGTAGCTGAGCAGATCCTTGAGTTGAAACCCAATGATGTAGGAACCTATGTTTTGCTTTCTAACATGTATGCAAAAGCAAACCGATGGGATGGCGTCGTGAAGGTCCGGAAGCTGATGAGAGAGAGGGATGTTAGGAAAGAGCCTGGTGTTAGTTGGATTCAAGTAGGAAGTGAGGTCCAGGTTTTCACATCAGACGACAAGAATCACCCATGGATAAACCAGATCACCATAAAGCTCAGAGAGTTGATAGACCAGATCAAAACGATCGGATATGCTCCGAATTTTGCGGTTGTCCTACATGATGTTGAGGATGAACAAAAGGAAGAACATCTTATGTATCACAGTGAGAAAATGGCCCTTGCGTTTGGCCTTATCCACAGCCCCGAAGGAGCAACTATCCGCATAATGAAAAATCTCAGGATATGCGATGATTGCCATGTTGCTATCAAACTCATCTCTCTTGTGACAAGAAGAAGAATAGTTGTGAGGGATACTGTTCGGTTTCATTGTATAGAGGATGGAGTATGCTCATGTGATGACTATTGGTGATCCACACCTTTGTTGTCAGAAGCTCCAGAGCATATGTGTTGTTATGGACATCAACATGGTATGTCATCTTATTTTCTAGAGCCAAGGTTAGAATCTGTAAATATTATAAGGATTTTTGTAACTGAAAAAGTCAATTTGCTTGACCGAATAGAGACGGAAAGACAACAGGAATTCACCTGTAAAATGTGTGAATGTTACCACTGCAACAGTGTCTCTGTTCACTATCTTTGATCATGTAGTTGATCAGATATACTCCCTCTGTAAAGAAATATAAGATCGTTTAGATCACTACTTTAGTGATCTAAACGATCTTATATTTCTTTACAGAGGGAGTACTATATACTATATAACGTTTAGTTTACATACATACACCTATAATGTTCGACAATTAGCATTTTTTTCCTACACACTGAACATTAACTGGACGATGAACTTTGTCAATAGATGTGTCTGGCTAGATGTCTATTCCTACAGAATTTGTAGAGCTGTTCATTTTGATCTGGAGATGTTAACCTTTTTTTGCAAATAGTGTTTTTTCCTTAACTTGCCAATAGCATTTATATTGCTCTTCATTTGGATCAGTAATCTAAGAAGTTAGCGACAGCAACTCATTTGTTGCCTGCTGCATGATGCTCCAGGTGAGTTCTGTTTACTACTGGCAGAAGTTGTTATTGCTTCATCAAGTAAAAAAACACTACAAGGATATCTGCTCAAGCATACACAGTGCACGGGTTCCTGCATCTGCATGTTGTTTTTCAACAGAAACAACCCCTTTTCTCTCTGGAGGTTTTCCTCTTTCTCCGCACGAGTTGTGATGTTCTTCAACTTTGCGTCTTGAGCAGAGTTCTTGGCGCTGCCCGTCGCCCTGCTCCCGTCTTGCAGCAGATCCCCTTGCTTGCTGCCGGTGTCGCTCAATCAAAACAGACAACACGATGTTCACGTTTGTCTAAGTGAACATCCCAGGTCGATCATCGTTCCCGCGGTCGATCATCCCAGGTTTGCTGCTTTTCCCTTTGCTCTTTGCAACTTTCATTTCTTCCTTACTCCTTTTGTCTGACCTGTTGTCATATTCCTTCTTTCAGGTCTCCCCCCATATCAGTGGGAATGATTTTTATATACTATCACATTTACAGTGACGTATAGGAGTACCTGGAATCAACAGAACAGGTCTTTGTCTTCCCTGATTCTTGAGAACTTTTGGTTTGACCAAACCACACATTGCCATGTCAGCGTACAAATATGTCGACAAGGAAAGTGAGCCATTCTCTCTCTGAAGCAGATCAAAAACCTGAAATTTGTCAGCTCAACTGAACATCCTTCATCACCTAACGTACATTTACCACGAGAGCGTGCATCACCGTTGTATTCTGTCCATTCTTTGTGCGACAACGGAGTATCATCACTGAGACCGGTAGCCCCAAGTTTCCACATCACAAATCGATCCTAGCTCGAAGTTCCCACATCACAAATTTTCTTGCGATCCTTCAAGACACGCATTTTGTTACAAAAATTCTCAACTGTACATGTGAAGATGCAATCCCGTCGCTGCAGGCCCTGCTCGCGCACCTGTGGCGCGCGGTGCGCCGGAGCAGAAGACGGCGTACTATCTCCTCGTCGGATACCGTGCCCGCGTCGACGGCATACACGCGTCGTACGCGGGCAACGCCGTGGTGGCGCACGCGAGCACGGCATCGCCCGCCGGCAAGATCCTCGGCAGGGGGCGGGCTGGGCTGGGCGGCGTGGCTCCTTAACAGGGCCGTGGCGTCGTTCGGGGAGGCGAGCGCGAGGGAGAAGCTCGCGCGCTGGCCCCTGGAACGATGACCCGCAAAGACCAGAAGACATTCAAACTCATGTACAAAAACAACACCTAGGAGGAGCTCTCCGTCCTTCCACATTTCTTCTCTTGTTGCACAAAAGGCAGTTTCATTCAGAGTGGGCAGGGAGGGATTTCGAGCGTTGCACCAGCTTGGATCTCGGCGACCTTCTCGCCTATGCTTGTGCAGACAGGGGCGGTGAGCTCAAGCTTGGCGAGATCGCCCTTAGCAGCGACCACGCGGGCGCCAGTCGACATAGACCCTATGTTAAGCATCAGGATCTCACGTTTGGTGAGCTTGGACACCTTCCCCGTCTTCTCACCACCCTTTGTTCTCACACCCAGAAGCCTTGGGAGAAGGAAGAAGTTGATCTGCAAAGCAATGTAGTCCAGGAAAATGTTATTAACATCTATCTCTGTTTTTGGCTAAAATTATACTCCCTCCGTACCAAAATATAAGACGTTTTTTACACTGTCATAGTGTCGAAAAACATCTTATAATAAGTTACAGAGGTAGTAAAAGATTTGACAAACCTATGTAGTCCAAGGATATCATCATTAACAGCTAGTAGAGTATATCTCTGTTTTGGAAAAAAGAATGAAAGATTTGACAAACCTCAAGCTCTGCGAACACATCAGGGAGCGACCCGATTTCTCCCAGGACCTGGCCGGTCAGCCTATCTGCACGACTCAAAGTCGGATCCATGGTCGTTCCCGCACCAATAAGCCCTCCTGGCACAGCAAATTGGAGTTCATTCTGCTCGGCGTAGAGCGAGACGATCCTCGAGTAGATCGGGGAGCATTTCACGTTGCCGCTCGCATCCTTCATGACCATGCCAGGGCGAACTTCAATGTTCTGGTTCACCCTCAGGACTCCTGTAAATAAGAGTATCGACATTCACTTCATATTTCACCACATGGAAAAAACGCAACACCTATGTTCTTGAGACTTAGTTGTAGATACATACCCTGAGGATGGTGCCACCTGCCACCCCACCTCTGATCTCATCAACCTCTGAACCAGGCTTGTTGACATCAAAGGAGCGAACGACAATCATGTTGGGAGGTGATGTGAAGTTCCTCTCCGGAATGGGGATTTTCTTCACAATGTATTCACAGATGACATCAATGTTGTACTTGAGCTGGGCAGATATTGGCACCACAGGAGCACCTTCAGCTTTCGTGCCCTACATACACAAATGGGAGTAAAGATGAAACGGTAAAGGCAAGACATGTATTATAAGTTTATGACACAAGAACTGGCCAACAATACTGACCTGAATAAATTTTTGGATTGCTTCATGCTGGTCTATTGCTGCACTCTCCTGGATAACATCAATCTTATTCTGCAGAATTATGAGGTGTTTGAGACCCGCAAGAGCCGCAAGATGCTCGGATGTCTGGGGTTGTGGGCAGCTCTCATTTGCTGCTATCAAAAGCAAGGCTCCATCCATGATAGCTGCTCCATTAAGCATTGTGGCCATGAGAATGTCGTGACCCTGTTCAAAGGGATGGAGAAACTTTATGATCATAAATGCATACTTGACAGCAAACTAGCTGATCGACAATGTTGCTAATCACCCGGATAGGACAATCCAACAATGTTAGTGTACTAGAACTGTACAAGAGAACATTCATAGCAGTAACAGGGTAGGGGAGGCTTCATCATACCGGACAATCAACAAAGGAAACATGTCTCATAAGCTTCATCCTAGTGTTTTCAAACCCAGGAACATTTTTTTTGAAACGGAAACCCAGGAACATCACAGACAGGAGAATCTTCTTTTCCGCTTCCATAAGCCTTTTGCATAATTGAACAGAAGTCAAATAGTGTACACGAGCTTAAAAAACAGAGCAGTAATCGTACGCTATTTAATATCTGGAGATCAAATTTGATACTCCAATCATGAGTATACTACCATCACCCGCAAAAAAAATATATGAGTATACTACCATATATTCAGTAGAAAATAATCATATGCACAGACAGGTTCAATAATATATATGTGAGTATAGAACAGTGCCCCTGAATTTCTTTGCTTTAAACTGTAAACAGCGTGAAAGTAATAAAATCTAGAGTAATGTAATGTGAAATGGTAACTCCATGATTTTTGGTACACGGTTTGAAATTCAACATACTTGTAGCACATCGGTCGTGGACATCTGTCGTCCTCGCATTTATAGATTTTTGCATTAGCATAACCCAGCTTGATAGTGATGTTACGTTCAAGCTCATTCTTGAAGCGAACAGTCTACAGAACAAAATGAAGGCATTCGTTAGAATATTATACAAAATAAACTACGGGTGGAAGCACACATCAAAAGCCATCAAAATGAGTTCCCACCAGGCACCAGGTCAGGTCAAACTTTTGTGAATCAGGTTTAAAGACATCTGCAATGTATTCCTAGCATGAACAAAGTATATGTGTAGTTTAGTCGTTCCTATACCAGAAAATAATATATGGGTGGCACAACTAAGTAAGTAATAGGACAAACTCACAAGAAGTCACTGATAAATGTAAAGTTAGTACAAAGTTGAGTCACTTATTTTGGGACGGATGGAGTACTTGTCACTTGTCAGGCATATACAGAAGTCAGATTAAGAACTTTGAAAGAAAATGTTGCAAACATAACGAATGATGATAGGATATACCTGAACTCCGGTTATAGCTTTCACAACGGTAGACTTCCCGTGGGCCACATGACCAATTGTACCTGAGGTGTGACATGAAAGTGATGGACTGATAAGTACGTAGAGAAGCTCAAAACGCTGCCAAAAGGGAAAGAATGGTGGTATCAGTACCAATGTTGATGGTGGCCTGGCGTGAGATAACTTGAGGTGACAACGGGTGGAGCTTTGTAACGTCAAGCTTGCTTAGGTCCTGCTCCATTAATCCTCCGGCCGCCATGTTTGAAACTGAAAAGAAAATATGGTAACAAACATGATTATGAGATTGACGAGTTGCAGGAAAACAGAACACGATCGAGCTGTGGTCACCTCTAGATCAAGGCAGCGTGGCGCGACGAAGAGGGTCGCCGCGCGCGTGGACGAGAGGACGAGCGGGGAAGGGGCGCAGCAGCCGGTCGCCGGAGACGAGGGTGACGCCGTCACCGGTGGTGTAGACGGAGGTTCGAGCAAGACTAGAGCGATCAGCTTCTGGAAAGATGGGTATTGGATTCAATCAAC